CCTCTGCTATGGGGACAGGCTGAGAGAGTTGGGCTTGTTCAGCCTGGAGAAGAGAAGGCTCTGGGGAGACCTTATTGCAGCCTTCCAGTACCTGAAGGGGCTACAAGGAAGCTGCGGGGGACTTTTTACAAGGGCCTGTAGCAACAGGACAAGGGGTAACGGGTTTAAACAGAAAGGAGGTGGATTTAGATTGGACATCAGGAAAAAATTCTTCAGGGGGGTTGGAACTAGGTGGTCTTTAAGGTCCCTTCCACCTCAAACCATTCTGTGATTCTATGGTTGCAGTTTTCCATTGCTCTGATATTTCACTTTCTTTTAAACTGTTTCTTAGTATCTATGTACAACATAATTGTTATTATATATTCAAATGATTTGCAACGGGTGGATAGAAAGGGCAGAGGAAGATTTTTGGGTTACTACTGAAAAAGCCAAAACCAACAGTTTTGAGTAATACTTTTTTTTCCATATGAAGACTAGTGCTTATTTCTTTCTAACTATAACTGGTAGAAGGTTTTATTCCAGAAAGTCCTGGTTCTTTGTGATTCCAGTAAGAAAGGCACTCAGATTATATAAGGTATTGCTTCAGGTGCCATTTATTGGAGCTAACACTATAAAGAAAAAGAAGAAAACATTGATGAGCTTAGGTCCCTTCAGAGGCTGCACAAACAGGCTGTGCAGCAGCTGTGTGCCCCAGGCAAAGAGCAGCACCGCTTGCCAGAGAGCACCATGAGCATGACACCATTGCAGTGAGTAAGATCCAGCTACCCTGGGAGTGGCAACTGGGCAAGCCTCTTCTTTCCTTTTGGCAAGCGCATGCAGCAGAAAAAAAGTCATCGTTCTACTGCTGCTTTCTTATAACAAGCTAGAGTCAACCAGCAATCAAGGGGCATAGAGGACTGGTGGATGTGCTTGGCCTCCTTCTACCTTGGGTTGCTGTGCAAACACAATACATTGCCATACCAGCTACTATGAGCCCTGAAGGAGAAAGGACAGGTTAGGCATTAACTTCATCCCTGGCCCGACACACTGACTCTCTGAGAGGTTTGCTGGGCTCTCATACAAAGTGCTGGTTGTGTTAAAAGCGCTATCACCGATAATGATGACACCACATGGATCTGATCACCTCCAGCACAGCAAATACCGTGGCTGAATAAAAAGCATCTGAAATCCTGTAAGTGGGACTTTGGTCACATCTCAGTTCATTTAAGGTCATGGAGCGATGCCAGTATAGCCTCTGCTAAGCATGATGCAGACAGACAGGCCACCCAAAGTGTAAGCAAATATCACCCCCCAAACACTGCACAATAGTTGCTGAGCAACCATAAGAAATTAGATGTGAGAATCTGAACAGAGAAATGCTGGAAAGACCCGCTTTTACTGCTGCTTAATATCTTCTCAATTATGCCAACACTGGGGAATATGGACAAACACATGTACTGGTTTAGGCACAAAGGGCAGCAGAGTCCTTGCTGACCTCTTTCTTGGACAAACTTGAATATGGAGCAGATTTTAAACTGTCTTGATTTACAGTACTGCACTCCTAGATTTGACTTTCAGGAGGAGCATCTGATTTTCCCTGGTCCGACGCCCTAGCTAGGCAGAGTCACACAGGAGCACTTGTCTGCAGATGACCGCATATGGTAGCCCGTTCTGATCAAAATTCTCAGCTATTCACAGGCTGCTTCTGCAACCACTTCTGTGCTAACATTCAGTGTAGAAAATAATACAAACCGAACCCAAGGTGGTGTGGTGACAGACTACTGTCTCTTGAATTGTACTGCCCCATCCACGCCTACTGTCAGAACCAAACTCCCCCTCTTCCATCAGCTCATTTCGTTTGGGTGTTTTAAACTGTCTTGCCTGCCTTGACGAAGTAGTTTTCATGTTGAGGTAGCTAGTGTAATTCAGAAACTGAGCAGCTGTCAGGTGTTCAACCAGGTTACCTGTGTGGAGAACTGTTGCAGAGATTGTGCTGCCGCAGAGGTATGAAATGTAGAGCGCAGAAAGAAGGCAAATAGATTGGCTGGGAGAACATACCAGAAACATCTACATGCCCTATTCTAGAAGAGCTGCTGCAGCAAGATATTTGTTGAGAAAATCTGGGAAATTAGACAAAGAGCTGGCCACCTGCACAGGTGTCCTTCAGGTGCATGCTCCACAGATGTCCACCCAGGACAAGCACGTTGAACCGGAGCATACAAAGGAGCGTGGGTGTCCGGGAAAATCCTTCATGGAAACCCCAAAGAGATGTTTGAGAACCTGCTGACTAGCTGGAACACTAATGTGAATATGTGAAAATGGGAGAATAAGAGAAGGCACACTGCAGCTCTTCCCACACGAGCCCCGTGCTCTCAGGCAGTAATGGTTTGATAGGATAAAGTGAAAGATACAGCAGCCCAGCTCGCAGCAGAAGGAACACTGAACAAGGTGAGAGGAAAGCTGCTTACTGTCTTTAGATTTTCCTGTCCTCATCACTGCTATAACATCTTCAGACAAAAAGCTCAGTCTGAGTTGGGAAACTAAAAGCCACCCCATGTATCAGGCTCTGTATGCACATGCCTACGTTCCAGCAAAACAAAACACACTGCTAAGGGTAAAGCAGCTCCCTTTCCCTTTCACAGAGGGTGCACCTACTGCTGTACGCTCTGTGACTTAATATGTACAAATCTGGGGTTTCTATTATCCACTCCTATGGCCTTCAGAGATGCCAGGTTTGTTTCTTTATTGCTCATCAAGTCTGTTATTCAATAAAGAGTAACAGCTTTTTACAATTGAATTATATTTGATATTGTGCATTCTAATTGTCTAACAGACCATGAATGTTCCTGCAGACAGATTCTGTACTTTATTCACCTGCCATAATAAAAAGGTAGGTATGGAAGATCTATGGGAATGGCCTGTGCATGTACCATGGACCTTGTTACCATGACCTGCGGAGAATGAAAATTAAAAGCTGACTCTCAGTTATCCTTTAAATACTACTGGCTGGATAAAATGCATTTATAAATAGCTGAATACTCTGGGGTCTGACTGACAGCCCAGAAAACACGTAATTCCTGACTGTCCTCAAATCTATTCCTCTGCCATGCCTACCCCCAGAGCTCTAATTCACCTCAACACTATGGCTCTGAATGTTCTTATCTAAATGAAATTTCAGAAGAATGAGTCCTTTTCTCCTCCTCCACATGTATGCTGTAGACCCTATAGTTTGACCTCAGGTAAAAAACTTTGGTCTCACCTAGGTACAGAAATAGATGTGGCTGTGCTTTTAACAAGAACAATCTATAAACCACACCAATCCTTGGCCTCAAGGAACATACTTCTGCATTTCTGGCAGACCAAAACACCTTTCAGTACTATTTTGGTCATTGAGAAATAAACAGAAAGTTTGGGGTTTGCTTTTACATGGAAAAAATCCATTTCAAAACCCTCTCAACAGGATGAAAATCCAGCAGCTGGCTCTGCTTGGAATTGCACTGTTTTGGCAACATCAGATGTTGTCCATGAGGAACTTCCCTCTGTTCCACTTGCACAGACGCTGTAGTGAGCTGCTATATATACATCAGACCTTCAGCAGTTAGCCCAGAATCCACTTTTCCCTTCATGCTGTGTGGGAGTACTGTATTACAGTGCTTTCTGTACCTACAGTGCCTCGTGGGTGAGAGGAAGAGAAAACAGACAGGTTTTCAGGGGCTGATGCACTTTTTTGCACTCCATGCTAGCACAAGGCTCTTTCCTCAGCTATATCTGTAGATGCTCACTAAGGGTGGACTGTGGTGGGAACTGTTTGCCCACTCCAAGGTCACTGCACTATGACTAGGTCTTATTTTCCTGTAATATTTTGGGATCTTTAGCCTCACTTGACTGTGAGAATCACCTGATCTGATGTTACAGCTCGGGTTATTAAAAATGTATTATCTTTCGCTGGATAGATTTGTAACACTGTTTCTCCTCAGGTTTTTGCATTTATTTTTCATTTGGCCCTAGTTACCTACTATGGCCCAATCACATTAATGTGTAAATTCAAAAGAACTGCATGAAACATAGCTTTAGACTTGAACTCCAGTTGCTTTGGTACAGCCTTACAAGTTACAGCAAAAGCTAAATAAATACTTTTTTTTTTTATTAGGTTTTACTTCAATAAAAAAAGGTTGGCTTCCTGCAGTTTGGGTGCCAGTCTAACGTTGGTCTACTCAATGTTTCAAAGCGCAATGAATCAAATGGTTGAGATGAAAGGTAGTGACTCAAAAGATGATTCCTTGACGGCTCACAGTGGGAGTGTCTCAAATGGTACAATATATATCACCAGGAGCTCAGAGAATTTGTTTAGGTTCAGCTGGCAAGCTGGATTATTACATGGCTCTTTGAAGTTTGTGGGGTAAGTGTTTCTCCAAGTAAAATATAATTTCTAATTTGTATCCTTTAATATGGAAAAAAAAAAGAGGTGATATTATGTTTAAGAACTTTAAGGTAAGTATGAGACTGATATGTAAAAAGACAGCATATACTGTAATTTTACCTTGCCTTATCAATATATATCATACTGTTTGACTCTCAAATACTCTTAGGTGTGCAAAATATGTGTGTTTGTACACCAGAGCTTTGAGCAGAAATACCTTTTTGTTGAAAATCTGGGGTCACATTAAAACTGTTCTTTTACAATTTTAATAACTATTTTGGAAATAAAGGCATTTCTCTTTCCTCAGCCTCAATCTCTGGACAACACAGGTGAGGCACAGTATGATGATTCACACCTGTGGTTCTACAGTCATTAGGGCCAGGTGCCTCTCAGGTCACATAATCATCTGCTCCAAACTGTGGATATGCTGCTGTTCCTCCAACTATTTTAGAAATACAAGAAGAGTATGCAACTTTCCTGGTCCCAGATTCAAAAGAGAGAATGACTGCAGGTTTCAATGAGTATCCTTAACACATCACATTCACTTGCATGTACAGGAGTTGCACCTGGCTGACGATGTAGAAACAGGACAGCTGTTTCCAGCTGTACTGCCAAACCCTGTATTTATGAGATATATGCTTGGGCTTTTTCTCAACAAAAAAGCATCAGCAGAGGTTAAATGTCCAAAATGGGACTACAGGAAAGAACGACCCTAAATCTATAGTTCAGCATCTAAGCAACTCGCTGGGTTTACAGAGCAACTTACTCCCGTTATTCCTATAAACTACAGGAAAGCAACCTCCCATTTGTGGCTGGTTGTACTATGCGACAGTAAGAAGTACACCGAGTACAGTGAGTTGAGTACATTTTTTTAAAAGGTCCAGAGCAGCCACAGAAGAAATGAAATCTGAAGTTTGCATTGTCTCAAATATCGTTCAGAGTCCTCTGGATAGCCATAGGGAAATTCATCCACTCGGTGTTATATTTATCATATTGAAGCATGGATGAAACTACCTATTTCCCAGAGAAGTGGTGGATGCCCCATCCCTGGAAGTGTTCAAGGCCAGGCTGGATGAGGCTTTGAGCAACCTGGTCTAGTGGAAGGTGTCCCTGCCCATGGCAGGGGGGTTGGAACCAGATGGTCTTTAAGGTCCCTTCTGACCCAAACCATTCCGTGATTCTATGATTTCCTAAAAGGCAAGTACAAGATACTGTCTTGATGATGAGCTAGTATCTTGCTGAAAAAAACCCCAAACATGCATTTTGAGATAAATGGGTCAGGCTTTACAATATTTCTAACGATCACAGAATTTGGTAGGCTTCACATCACTCATTAGTTCAGCACCACCAAACTAGCAATGAACTAGTAGTTTCTGGTCTATTGACAGTCCTTTTTATCACAGGTGTCACCTATCACCACTATACAGTCCTATTTCTGCCTCTTTCAGCCAACCCTGGTTTCACAATGGGCTCCATCAGTGCAGCAAATGCAGAATTTTGTTTTGATGTATTCAAAGAGCTGAAAGTCCACCATGCCAACGACAACATCTTCTATTCCCCCTTGAGCATCGTCGCAGCCCTGGCCATGGTCTATCTGGGAGCAAGAGGTAACACTGAGTATCAGATGGAAAAGGTAAGTTATATAAATGGATACAAACTCCTTTCAATCCCATTCAGCACAGCAACAGATTATCCATTTACATCTTTGGAACTTTCTGCAGTTGAGGGGAGAAAGTCACATAGACACTTTTGGCACTGGATTCACTCCTGCCTAGAAAAAGGATGGCATTCCAAACTGTAAGTTTAGGGTCTGGAGCTGAGTTTTCACTTACTACTGCTTTTCCCCATGAAGGGCAAGAATGGACTTTGGTTTCCCTTAAGAAAGAGCAGTCGTGAAGAATGATTAAGGCAGGTTTCTTGCTTCAGCTTGTATTATCTCACAGACCTGATCCCCTCCAGGTGGAAAGGACAACTGGTAATACACAACAGATGAAACATTCAGAAAAGAAGAGTCACAGTTATATATACAATACAGTAAGGTTGTTGCTGGTTTATAGACTGAATACCATTAACTGGAAAAGAAGGGATCTAAGCTGAGGATCATAGTCACAAATTTTCAGTGTGGCACATGCAGTAAAAAAACTAATTTAAAGCTCATATGAAACTTCTCAGTTCACCTATGTACTAATCAGACCTGGTTAGTCCAAACCTATATTTTCAACAAAAACATCCGTGACTCTAAGTGGACTTCACATACTTAAATTATTCTATCGCTCCTTTCCATTGCAGGTTCTTCACTTTGACAAAATTGCCGGACTTGGAGGAACTATTCAGACCAAGGTACAGAAACCTAAGGTACATTCATTGCTCTTTCACATTATTCTCCTGAGAATAGACTGTTCTGATTGTGCTTCAAGTAGGTTCAACACCTTCCCAAAATTTTACTAATGCTCTTAATTTAAGAGATGTAAGTTAAAAAAGCAAACAAAAAAAACCCCAACCAAACAAAACCAGAAAAAGAAGACAGGCTGCACATGCTACAGCAGAACAAGTGACAGGACAGGATAGGATGCTTTGGGCACCAGGCTACCTTCTTGTGTAGATAAGCAACTGCACACCTGTAAGTGCTGCTGGGGGACAAGACGTGAAAGGGGCTCAGCGCCTGGACCCAGGATTCAGCAGTCAGTCTTGCAGCTGAGACACCAAAGTGGGGCAGGAAGATGCTTTGGCAGTAAAGAGCCCAGAAGCCTCAAAGACTGGAAAATGACCACACTACTCCAAAAGCTACAACGACTTTTCCAGCCTCCAATTCCCCCTCCTAGCCGAAGAGCAACATGAGGTGTCACCATACCTTGATACCACCTGTATGCTTTCCTCTGTGTGAATCTGCATCCTCTGTAAAGATAACAGTAGCCATGCTCCCTGGCCTGCCCCCATTGACTTGGGATTCGCAAGCACAAGATGGAATTCGCGAAGAACAAGGAAAGGTGGTTTGCTATTTTTTTCTTAATAAACAAAAATAAAGGTAGTATCAGCTAGAGCATTTAGTGGCTTGTTAAGTATTTAGAAAGGAGCAGTTAAACAATCCTTCTCATAAAATGAGGTCCTTCTCATAAAATGCACTGTTTATCATTGTGCATTTTTCTTACACGCTTTTAGCCCGAGTCACCTGAAACACTATTCTTGGGACATCAGACAGCTGATCCATTTTTTCACAATACTGTGAGACACTTCATGACTCATTTGTCATCTAGCATTCTTCTCCCATCTGCAGCTTCAGCAGAAAGATCTCATGAAAATGCAAGCAGAAGCTCGGAATGAGAGTTCTATGACAACTCACCAACTGCAATCATTGAAACCTGAATTTTTCTTTTTGTCATCCCCCTCCTGAGACATGTGGATACAGATTCATCACTGAGGTTTTCTGCTTGTTATCACCTAGAATTAGTGTCATCATATGCTCAGTGTATTAACTGTACATTGTTAGTTGCTTATATAGAACATCCCTCCCACAGAGCTTGGACTGTAGCACATGTTCATTTGCAAATGTACGAACACTGTGCATTTTCCCATGTTATTTGTAACCTGTGCATAATGCTATTTCTAGTAAAATATGCTAACAGCAACACCTTTTTATCTTCTTATCAACAACTCAGTGTGGCAAGTCTATGAATATCCACTTACTGTTCAAAGAACTTCTCTCAGATATGACTGCACCGAAAGCTAATTATTCACTCCACATTGCCAACAGACTCTACGCTGAAAAGACATGTCCAGTCCTACCGGTGAGTTGTACGTTAGCGTGATTTCTTGCTATAAACCCTGTATAAACCTGTAATCCGGGAGGAGTGGCCAGAGTAAGTGATCTGTTAATCCATCAGACCCCAATGGTGTGGAATTCCACAGCTTCTCCCTTTGCCACAGCCCTGATAATAGCCTGAATGTAAAGCAATTTCAGACAAAAAGATGGCCCTATTAAAAAATTAATGGAGTAAGAAACAAAACTATTTGGTAAAGTAATTTATCACTCCCCACTTGCTCACCAAAAGTCTTTTCATTTTCATAGGCTGTTTGGTTTTTTTCAGGAAATAATTTGACTTCAGCACATTTCTTCACCTGAAAACCTCATCTCAAAACCAATTTTTGAAAGGGTGAAAATCTTTCATTTGACATTTTAAAAACAAAGCATAGAAATATTCTAAATCAAAGAACTTTTTATCTTTAAAAATAAGGAAAAATGCTTAAAAAAAACCCCACACCAAAAACCCAAACCAAACCAAAACAAAAACCCACTCTGAAATGAACCTGAAACAGTGTTTTTGGATCACTCTTTCTTCAAGAAAATATTTAAATGCTTCTAATATACTCTTAACTGGTCAAGTAATAAATATATCAACTCTGAAAATTCCATGGATCAGAATAGTTTTTCTGGCCTAGTTTTAGCAGGTTCTTCCAGAAAGTAAGCAATGCGAACTGTTTATATGGCATTACTATAAAAATCCTTTTAGCCATATTTTGTTTCACCTTCATACTGTTTTAAAAAAATTATTAGTTTGGTGACTACAATTGCTGTCTTTACAGATTTACTTAAAATGTGTGAAGAAACTGTACAGAGCAGGTCTGGAAATGGTCAACTTCAAATCAGCATCAGATCAGGCCATACAGCTCATTAATTCCTGGGTGGAAAACCATACAAATGGTAAGGTCAGACAAGATTTTGAAATATGCTTCCTTCTCACAACTGTATTTGGACACCTTCCGGAAAGACTAAACATTAGAGGAGAAGTTTCCTCCTCCCGTCCTCATTAGTGGCTATTTCCTGTGGAAAGGGATGACCCTATTGCACCTGTGTGGCAGTGACAGTGTGTTTTAAACATATCTGGCAAAGCAGGTGCCAGGATATGCACATTTTATAGGCAGACTTTCTGTGTCTGAAGAGCTTAACTCATGCAGGATTAGTTCCAGTTTTTCTATATTGACATCATTTTACAAAGACATTCTGAATGGATAAGAAGTGGGCTGGCAGAGGAGAAAGTAATGCATTCGTTAGGCTGGTGGTGGGAAAGGAATGATTCCAGAGGTTGTGTACATTGTGCTGAGGTGGGAGGAAAAACAAGAGTGAAGTGTGAGAAAGAAGCACAATGAGAAACAGAAAATCTGTATCTCTGCTTCCCTCTCCTGTTCCTTCTTTTCCATATAAATCTTTTTCCAAAAACTGGTTAGAAATATTTCTGGGGAAATATGCCACTCTGGAACCTACCTGTCTTCTTGCAGAAATGTCTGGCCAGGTGCCAATTGTTCCGTATTAAATCACCCTCATGAATGTGAATTCCACATGCGGACCTTTGAAGAAAGGGAAGTCAAGTCAAGCAGCAGCACGTCGATTGACTTTTAAAATGCAAGACTCATGCTATGAAACTTACCACTCTCTGCTCTGCTTCTTCCTTAAAGGACAGATCCAAGATTTCCTTGAACCTGGCTCTGTTGGTCTTGACACTATGCTGGTCCTTGTGAATGCCATTTACTTCAAAGGGATATGGAAGACAGCATTTAAAGAAGAAGACACTAGGGAACTTCCCTTCAGCGTGACAAAGGTAGGGGGCACAGACACAGCTCCCGGTCAGGACTCAAGGGTGGATGTCGCACACATGCTGCGGGCATTGGCTGGGTAGTTTAGCTGGGCCTCTTGCTGTCAGGTTTGCAAGAGCTATGCCTAGCCAGGGCACACCAGCAGCCAGGAGA